GTGAAATGCCATTGGCAACTGCTGCCGCTTTTAAACGTCTTTTCCAGCCAATAAACAAAACCTACGAAGGCCAAAAAAACACATCGTGCATTTCTCGACCGCTTAGAAGAAGTATTTTTTTGCGCCAGCGTTCTCCGGAAAAGAGTATTTCGATGAGCTTTGTACATATGTCTCAACGGAGCTTTCGAAAAGGAGAAATTTCCCTGTAATATTACAGAAGCTTTTCGGTATTCTTATTCGAAACTGTGAAATGCTTAACATTTCTCACTTAAGCTTTTCAGACAATATTAGTTGTGGTTTCCCTGCGCGACTGCGAACGACATTAACCTTTAGAAGATCTTAAAAATTCTATTGCCATAAACAAAATAGAATAAACCAAAATCACGGGTTCACTTGATAATGGAAAATCTTAATCGAACTGTGGTTTTTTTCAGTACAGGACATAATGATAAAAAATATTTAATGCATGCGTTAAGTCTGTCTTGTTATACGGATCAGAGATGGATTATAGGCTTGTAACGAAGGAGATTAAAAAGACACTACAAACTTTCATCAACCGCTGCTTGCGAAACATAATGAAGATATGATGGCCAAGAACGATAATATATGAAGAAGTCTGGAGGCAAACTGACCAAACGTCTATTAATGTTGAAATTTATAAGCGAAAATATGGGTGGATAGGCCATACCCTGCGTAAGCCTTATGACGATATCGCGCACGCAACGCTAACATGAAATCCGACGTAGAGACAGATTAACGATCTTCGACAAATTTAGCAAAATAATGATAATTGGAAATTATTTGTTGTATCCTTAAGCTTCTGATAGAGTATGGAATAAATAAAAATTAATTTTGATACCTGCAAATATACAACTATATATACTATATGCTATACAATAGTATATATTGTTGTTGACAACTCACACAAAAACCCTCACACCCTCACACCCTCACACAAAAGTATAACATTCTATCTTAATAAATAGAAATACACCCAATTTTTATTGGGAGTGTTTATATACAATACACTATGAAAGTATACATAATGTCAGAAAAGGTTTAGTAAGGCAAGTGATTTACGTTAGTAACCATTCTAAAAATAAGATGATAGCATTCCTAATACTAAGCAAGATTTGATCTTTCTCTAGTGACTAGGAAAAATCCAAACAGAGTTTAGTTTTAATGTAAGTTGTTATAAACAATCACACCGATTAGAAAGATATACCAAATAACTTTAAAGGAATAGAAATCAGTACAAGAATAGAATCTTGAAGGATCGCAGTAGGTTAGGATTGTAAACTTAAGTGTTAAGTGTTTATTGCAACTGTTGGTTGAATAGCATGAGTAAAAATTTAAATACCGATTTTGAAAGGTTTAGATGAGATTTTTTTAAATTAAAGAAAGTCTGTTATCTTCAATAGAACGCTTTGGAGAAATCAATAAGATTTATGACAAATTCATTTAGAAAAGCATATAGATCATACAACCAGAAGTTAGTTGAAGAAGTGCAATACAATCAAATCGAATGGGTGAATTTTCCTTTTGAGTTATTTTAAAAAAAGTCCATTAATAATTAACTCACTTTTTTGCAAAACATTAGCTTTGTACATATATATATATATGTTATATTCTTAAGGGCAGCTGACGGATATATTAAAACTTTTTATATTTCTTTACATATGTATATACATATAGATATTACTTTTATACTATTTAAATTCCACATATTTAAAATAATTTTAAAAAAGAACATAAATATGATTTTAAATGCACTAAAATTTTTTTTTTAATATATCAAATTCATAGAAGTGTTAAACAGAAGCATAAATATGCTTTTAAATGCACTAAAAATTTGTTTTTCTTAAAGTTTTAATTTGTTATCAAATTCAAAGTATTATTCGCAGAGTATTCCTAATTTTAATACAGTTTTCGTTATTCATATAACGACATATAACGACGAAAATAAGACAGTCTAATCAATTTAGTTGCGCACATTTCTAATCTAGTAAGAAGTTCTTATGGATCTAGATTTATCAATCCAAAACACCATTAATTGAGAATAAGTTGCAAGACTTATACGTCGTTCATAAAATACATTTCGTTGAAAAACAATCTACTACTTCTAGCGTTAATGTTTTCGAAATATTTTGAAAGAACTTATATCCGAAACCGCCTCTCATTTATACTCATAAAGTTAAGTTAATTGCGATAGTGTCAAAGTACTATGAATTTTCCTTTTAAAACCGTGTGCGAGTTCAAGTAGATTGAGATAAAGTAAATTAAAATTACCTAGGGCTTTTTGCACTGCACTTATGTGAATATTTATTTATTGCACTTATTTATTTTTATTGGTTAAAAGCTTTCAAATTTATTCATTTATTTATTAACTATTTTATAAAATTTTCACAATACCTAATTTACCCTACTCGAAATTCTAGTAAATATCAACATTCGCTGCCATACCGACATAATTAACTAATACCATCAATTTACTCGAACTCGCATACTAAATTTGTTAGTATTTCTGTTGGTATGCATATGTTGGTACGGTATTTCTATATTAAAACAATATTTTCTCTGGTTTGTTAAAAAATAAAATATTTTTAAATCCAGTATAGGAAAAAAAATTAATTTGCTTTAATTAATTACAAAACTAAAATCAACGAACTTTACCAAACTGTCTTTTGCTAACTGAACCCAGTATATTTTCTTTAATCGCAACAAAGACGTTAGTAGCATATAATTTTACGACCCTTACCACTTTTCTCCACAGATCGTAATAATACGATATTGGTATTCAGCAAATAGACAACATTATTTGAAATAACCTTCAAAGACCGTAAAATTATACGGTCATGTGGCCACCTTCCATTCAGCACATTCCAACAAATATTATTCTATAATACAACCATATGCTAAACTTTACCTAAACCTTTATACCAGTAGCTAAGACTAGAACAGAAATAACTATAAAAATGAATAATTCACGCCGTTTACCAGCACTGCAACACATATTCAATATAGACTTGAGTAGGTATTAAAGAAATCAAAACTGAAATTCTTTGATTATGTGGACGTTCACGCTAACTCATAATTGCACAGTCTCAGAACGAACACACTATACAGTTTTAACAGTGGATCAGCGAATTCACCGTAGGCTCTATTAAAAGTGCTTTAGACCTCACAATTTACCGCACGCAAAAAGGGACAAAAATATTCACTAAATATTTATAGAGTAATAAGTATGTACCTTTACTTACATATTGGCATATATTATATGATAAATAAGTATGTAAGTGGTATTTTATACCATTTAGATCTTAATAATAAAAAAAGGAAAACATTTAAATTAGATTTGTAAGGACGTGTGCGAGTTAGGCTAAGTTGCGTTCTAAATGAGGGAAATACTAAATTGTGCCGATACTGTAATGATGTGTCGATACGTGTTGATAAATGGCTAAATGTGTGCAGTGCAAAAAATTCCAAAAAATCTCCTATTTGGTTTAACATCAACTTAGCGTAACTCGTACACGTCCTAACTCAACGAAAAATCTAAAAATGATGAGAAAATGGTTAAGTTTTTTTTTGGACAAAATATAAATATTGTTGTCGCAGTATCACAGCCTAAATCCACAGGACATGACTTGATAAAGGTATAGTTTTATAGGAAATACCACCAAGAAGATTTGGTTTTTTCACTCATCTATTTAATATCGTAATAATTAAACCAGAAAAAAGCACAGAATATATTATATCACCCATTAAGTATTCTTTCAACACTTCACCTCAGTAAGCAGCACTTACTGTTCTAAACACATTTATAGAAGACCGATCAGTCATATCCAAAATACTGACCAAATAACATACATATGTTGACAATATCCTTTCGAAAACAATATTCCATTGCCATACCAATCCATTCAGTTCATATTTGTTACTAGACGATCCAGCTGACTGTCTGTCTTGAGAAATACTATGCAATTACTAAACATAAACATTAAACGTCAAAATTTACTTTTGGTCCTTAAGTGATATACTAAAATTTCATTAGGGAAATTCTGATTCAAAAAAATAAGCTGAAACCCATTTATACTTACAGATCACAGCAATGAAAGACCGTATCTGGCAATAATTTAACGTTTTCAATGCAAAACATTATGCGTTCTGAAATATTGCCAACAACAAATAACACAACAGCTCCGAGTCCCAACAATCATAGAATAAATGTCAAAGATTAAAAAGAAATACACCAATCAAATATGTATAATCATCCAAACTCGCTTACGTAAGGGTGACTATAAACACACTTACATATGTTAAATGCTTTTATTATTTACAATAGAAAGAATAACATAATATCCCTTAATATCGTAATGAAAAGAATAAGTTATTAATGGTGTAATATGATGATTCCAATTGTTCACAGCTCGTTTGCGACTCCCGAAGCATTCGGCGATCAAACAACAAACAACAACCGACTAACTGCTTTTCTTTTACAGTCACGTTCTCATCAGAATTGCATATTCGAAAGAAATATAAAGTTCATCTATACCTATATGAAGTCAATAGCATTTTTCAGAATAGATTAAAAATTCTGGTGAAATGCCATATTGATGGTTAGGTTAGGTTGAGTTTTGTTATTTTTGTGATTATGAACACTGTCACAAATTGCACACCGTGTGGTATAGGATCATAGACGATCATAGATCATAGACGTATAGTTTAGTTGCAAAGAACTCACTTTCATATTGTATAGGTCAGAGGTTAATTAATAGTCGTGCAGTGCAGAAGAAAAGGAGTGAGTTATTTTCCATCACTAATTATTCTTATGAAAATAAATAGACAGACACTATCTGACACTATCTTACACTATCTGTCACTAGGCATATACTCGTTTACTATTTCCGTTATCGCTGACGTCTGTTTATTTTGAAGAAAAGTAGGCGTAATTCCTACATAAAAAATTTCAAACAGAATCTTTCTTTCCGAAAATCAAAATTATTAAAATTCAAGTAAGAATGTTTCAAAAATAGTTAAGATTAAAAATACAGTATTCAAAATTATCGCAAAATGAGTACAATAATAAAAAACGTCGGGAAGGTTATTGGGGCAGCTAGGGGATCCTGTATATTTCGAGGTAGATATAAACTTAATTCAAATCTAAATACAACTAATTTTCATACGTTATTGCTCAAATAGGTGGTAGTCGTTCATTCAGTCGAAAGGGAAAACGTGAGTTATTTGACTATGCGTATTAATTATTCTTGTTAAAATAGTTGTGTTGTTGAGTTCCTAACATCCTAACATCCTAACATCACTTTTATCAATTTTCGTAGAGACAACAGTTAATGCGACAACTGGTGACGAATGTGCTTCAAAAAAGCGAAGTGAAGGTGAACGTAAGTTACTTTTTATATTTATTTTCGTTAAATCAAAATCGATCGAAATTGGTGATGGATGGACACCTGATGTGGATGATCCTTCTTCATCCTACATTCCCCATACTATATGAAATGGGCGATTGTTTATTATAAAACTTTTCTCTCTTACGGATGTGTTATTATGTGGTGTCTATAGTTAAGTTTTCTTATTGAGAATATTAGATTATATTATAATATTAGAATATTAGAGAATATTAGTATTACTGATTTATTTGATTAGCTATTATAAAATCAAATTCATCTAACGTTCATCAGAATGAAATATATGAGGGAAATAAGTAAATTATCTATTATCAATTTTTGTTTTAGATTTTTGTTTCAGTTTGCATCATGTACTGATCCCATTTCGAGACAGAAAGTGTTTGAGCTTTTTTCAATATTTTCATTAAGAAAATATTAGGAGACGACAGTTTGTTTTGAAGAATTTTATAATTTCCTAAATCAGAATTGCATGCTCTTGAATTCCAAGTAGTCTTTATCATGGCCACAATCAATCTTCGTTTTAAGCTCAACCTTAAACCGATTTCTTGTAAATGTTAACAAAGTATCTTTTTACAGCAGCTATAAGAAGCAATGACAAATACCAGCAGGACGTTAAACATAGTGTAGGAGCCGCATCTTCTACATATCAGGAATACAACACGTACTACAAAACTCTGGAGAAGAAAAAAAACAAAAGTTGTAGAGAACAACTTGAATTTAAAGTACGGTACTTTGTACGATTACTTTTTAACTGTGATGTGTTCATTTAAAATACATTTACTAGGTTATGCAGAATCCATGACTTCCTAGCCTGCCCCAATCTATGTTCCATTTCAGACGATTTCCATGCGTTCCTCAAATTTAAATTTTGTACTCATTTCGTTACTTAATTAAATACATATTTTTTAATACAACCAAATGACTTTTAATCTTGCACTCATTTTTTATGGACTTGCACGCAGTATAAGAAGAGAGAGTTTCCTATTGCTGTGGAAATTGTGTTCTTCTTTGCCAAAAAAAAACACAGACTTCATCTGTACGACTTTACGTTTATTACGTATATAAGCGTATATTAGCATATAAGTATATTAACATCTGCTAATCAATAACATATTTTAAGTATTAATGTCTCTCAATGTAATAAAAATGTTTCTTTCAGAACGCTATTTTCATCTGGGAGAGGACAAGGACAATGGATACTTTAATGTTAAAGCAGAGTGAATTTAAATTTATTTACTTTATATCTATTGCATATTACGATCGTGTACTAATATATTTCTTTAAAATAGATTAGTAAATGCTTCTAGTTAAAGTATAATGATTTGTGAGAGAAACTTAGATGCTTTGTAATGACATTGGTGTAAGATGATGATTCCAATTGTTCACAGCTCGTTTGCGACTCCCAAAGCACTCGGCGATCAAACAACAAACAACAACCGACCAGGTCCGGACGGAATTATTCCCGCCGATATTCAACAGGGTGAATTCATAATCCTCCCCTGGCTTCTAAGCATTTACAATAGTTATATTAAGCTTATGTATGTCCCAAGCTGCTGGAGAGTGGCTCGAGTAGTATTCATTCCCAAAGCAGGGAAAATAACTCACTGCAGTGCCAAGGACTATAGACCAATCAGTCTGTCTTCTTTTCTTCTGAAAGTACTGGAGAGAGTTCTTGATCTGCATATCAGGAACAAGATAAACCCAGCGCTCTTATTTCCATCACAGCATGCTTATACTAAAGGCAAGTCTGTCGATACTGCGCTTCATGCACTCATCTCGCAAGTTGACCATTCCATCTCTCTCAGGGAATACACACTTGCCACTTTTCTCGATATTGAGGGCGCTTTCAACAATGTCTGCTCCAATGATATCATAAAATCCCTATCAAAGTTAAATCTCGACAATAGTCTGGTTAAATTTGTAGAGGCCCTTCTCAAAACTAGGATTATCACATCCGACATCGGAAGTGTTCAATCCTCCAGAGCAGTCTGTCGGGGAACGCTACAAGGTGGGGTTCTCTCTCCTATTCTATGGAACATAGCGGTTAATTCGTTGTTAAAACTTTTGGAACAATCCGGATGCAGTGTTATAGCTTATGCGGACGACATTGCTATTGCCTCATCTGGCAAATTCCCCCAAGTTCTATCCAATGTTATTAACTCTGCGCTCCTCATTGTAACTGAATGGTGTAGGGAATTCGGTCTGGATATTAGCCCCGCAAAGGCAGAGGTTATTCTCTTCATCAGGAAATATAAAATACCGACATTTTCCTTAACAAAGATAAAGGGCGTTACTCTAAATTTAATTCGAACGTCAAATATCTGGGTATTATTCTGGACTCTAAACTCAGCTGGAAAGACAACTTGGCTGAGAGAGCGGTATGCGCCACCTACTGTTGCAGAAGAGCTATAGGTCGCAGTTGGGGGCTCAAACCGTGCATTATACTCTTGCTCTATTCAGCTGTTGTCGAACCAATTCTTCTGTATGGGGCTGCTTTCTGGTGGCAGGCAACTGAAAAAGCATGCCACACCAAATTAATTGACAAAACTAGGAGGATAGCTGCACTACAAATCACTGGTGCTCTTCGCTTTACCCCCACGCAAGCTCTTTTCGCTATGTTTCATTGGCTGCCATCTCGGCTTCTCGTAAAACAGCAAGCCAAAATAGTTGCAACTAGGCTCAACGCCCCCTCCTGCTGGTCAAGAACTGATATAGGCCACGTGATCATACTGAATCAGGATCTGCCAACTCCCGTCTCTATTGACTACATGTATTGTTACCCAGACCTAATTAGGGGGTTCGAATCTCTTATACCTAGCAGGGAGGACTGGATCCTTGAAAGAATGATCCCTCTCCAAACGGTTGACATTTACACGGACGGCTCCAAAATAGATAAACGAGTCGGCTGTGGCATTTTCTCTGAAAGATTACAAGCCGAAATAATGGCAATTCACCAAGCTGTAAAATGGGTTCTAAGCAATCGAACATCCGATTTACCAATCTCAATTTTTTCTGATAGCCAAGCTGCCATCAGATCACTGATTGGCACCTCAGCCACATCAATCACAACTCAAGACTGCCGTGCTTCACTAAATGACCTAGCTAGGTTTGTTAGGGTCAAACTCATTTGGGTTCCTGGTCACAGGGATATCACAGGAAATTGTAGGGCAGACGATATAGCCAAGGCAAGTGCTCTTCTCCCTAACATTAACCTCTCTGATATAGGCGTCCCACTTGCTACAGTTAAACTGGCAATCATACAAAACTACCTGAGCATAGCCAAGCAATACTGGGCTGACGAACCTCAATGTCAGATTTCTAGGTTGACTTGGCCGAACTTTGACAAGAAAAGAACCAGTCAGTTACTTCAACTAAGACGGAACCTGCTCAGCACTACGGTATCTGTGTTGACGGGACACTGCGTAATAGAAGGCACGCTATGAGACTGGGTCTCCCCTTTAACGACTTTTGTCGAGGTTGTGATTCTGAGGATGAGGAGGAGACTGTACTCCATCTCATGTGTCAGTGCCCTTCCCTAGCCAGAAGAAGATTAAAAATCCTTGGATCTCCTTTTCTAACTGACCTGACTGAGTTGTCATCCTGTAATATTAGGAACCTAGCCAAGTTCATAGAACTGTCAGGTTGGTTTTCCTTTACCTACTAGGGGAGTCGTTACCTTTCTTCGGCGTTAAATGTATACTGATTAAAATCTATATACAAATAACGTAACTCCTGCGGTACCACAATGGGCCTTTATTTGTGCTTAAGTGGGCTTTTTGGGATACAAGGCCGCCACTCCAACCTATACCTATACATATACGTTCTCATCAGAATTGCATATTCGAAAGAAATATAAAGTTCATCTATACCTACATGATGTCAATAGCATTTTCCAGAATAGATTGAAAATTCTGGTGAAATGCCATATTGATGGTTAGATTAGGTTGAGTTTTGTTATTTTTGTGATTATGAACACTGTCACAAATAGCACATCGTGTGGTATAGGATCATAGACGATCATAGATCATAGACGTATAGTTTAGTTGCAAAGAACTCACTTTCATATTGTATAGGTCAGAGGTTAATTAATAGTCGTGCAGTGCAGAAGAAAAGGAGTGAGTTATTTTCCATCACTAATTATTCTTATGAAAATAAATAGACAGACACTATCTGACACTATCTTACACTATCTGTCACTAGGCATATACTCGTTTACTATTTCCGTTATCGCTGACGTCTGTTTATTTTGAAGAAAAGTAGGCGTAATTCCTACATAAAAAATTTCAAACAGAATCTTTCTTTCCGAAAATCAAAATTATTAAAATTCAAGTAAGAATGTTTCAAAAATAGTTAAGATTAAAAATACAGTATTCAAAATTATCGCAAAATGAGTACAATAATAAAAAACGTCGGGAAGGTTATTGGGGCAGCTAGGGGATCCTGTATATTTCGAGGTAGATATAAACTTAATTCAAATCTAAATACAACTAATTTTCATACGTTATTGCTCAAATAGGTGGTAGTCGTTCATTCAGTCGAAAGGGAAAACGTGAGTTATTTGACTATGCGTATTAATTATTCTTGTTAAAATAGTTGTGTTGTTGAGTTCCTAACATCCTAACATCCTAACATCACTTTTATCAATTTTCGTAGAGACAACAGTTAATGCGACAACTGGTGACGAATGTGCTTCAAAAAAGCGAAGTGAAGGTGAACGTAAGTTACTTTTTATATTTATTTTCGTTAAATCAAAATCGATCGAAATTGGTGATGGATGGACACCTGATGTGGATGATCCTTCTTCATCCTACATTCCCCATACTATATGAAATGGGCGATTGTTTATTATAAAACTTTTCTCTCTTACGGATGTGTTATTATGTGGTGTCTATAGTTAAGTTTTCTTATTGAGAATATTAGATTTAGTATTACTGATTTATTTGATTAGCTATTATAAAATCAAATTCATCTAACGTTCATCAGAATGAAATATATGAGGGAAATAAGTAAATTATCTATTATCAATTTTTGTTTTAGATTTTTGTTTCAGTTTGCATCATGTACTGATCCCATTTCGAGACAGAAAGTATTTGAGTTTTTTTCAAAATTTTCATTAAGAAAATATTAGGAGACGACAGTTTGTTTTGAAGAATTATTATATATTCATAAAAAAATCATTTTATAACTTCCTAAATCAGAATTGCATGCTCCTGAATTCCAAGTAGTCTTTATCATAGCCACAATCAATCTTCGTTTTAAGCTCAACCTTAAATCGATTTCTTGTAAATGTTGACAAAGTATCTATTTTACAGCAGCTATAAGAAGCAATGACAAATACCAGCAGGACGTTAAACATAGTGTAGGAGCCGCATCTTCTACATATCAGGAATACAACACGTACTACAAAACTCTGGAGAAGAAAAAACACAAAAATTGTAGAGAACAACTTGAATTTAAAGTACGGTACTTTGTACGATTACTTTTTAACTGTGATGTGTTCATTTAAAATACATTTACCAGGTTATGCAGAATCCATGACTCCCTACCCTGCCCCAATCTATGTTCCATTTCAGACGATTTCCATGCGTTCCTCAAATTTAAATTTTGTACTCATTTCGTTACTTAATTAAATACATATTTTTTAATACAACCAAATGACTTTTAATCTTGCACTCATTTTTTATGGACTTGCACGCAGTATAAGAAGAGAGAGTTTCCTATTGCTGTGGAAATTGTGTTCTTCTTTGCCAAAAAAAAACACAGACTTCATCTGTACGACTTTACGTTTATTACGTATATAAGCGTATATTAGCATATAAGTATATTAACATCTGCTAATCAATAACATATTTTAAGTATTAATGTCTCTCAATGTAATAAAAATGTTTCTTTCAGAACGCTATTTTCATCTGGGAGAGG